AAACCAGGGAGTTGATGCGAATGTTTTACAATTATATCATGGAACAAAACATTCTTGTAATATTAAAGAATTGAATAGTGCAGATATGTTGTGCAAAAATGCAGAATGCTGTACCTGTGGAATTGTTCGCAACGGACCTCGACTATCCTTGGCGAAAACTTGTGAAATTGGAAGTAAATATGTCTTGTGAATGTCACGTGCAGGGATGAGCTGCAATTAACGAAAGTTTGTGATTATATAATGATGTTGAAATACTAAAAGTTAACTACCGTGGACTGCTGACTTGTAAACCCTTATTCAGAGACTATTTAGGGTTGTAAAATTCTGCTTTATGACAATATTTTTATCCCATCAAAAAACACCCGGATACGGCATTATCCGGATACATTATTAGTCAGCAGTTACTGTGGTCTGTCAGAAAAAATTCCGTGATCTCCGAGTTCGGTATCCTTTTACAATAACGATAATAATTGATATCGGGCTAATTATTCCGATCTCAGAAATCATGAGGCCTGGTATTTTTTCTGATAGAACCAATCCACCTCCAAAGTTTAATTGCAGCATTCATCTTTAATTTTAAAAACTAGTAACTGTCAGAACGTTCAAATTTAATATAATCATTAACATAATTCTCGAGATAAAACCTAATTTTTTTTTTTTTTGACTTAAAAGAATTCATCTGGCTAGCACCAACTGCCAATATTTCTCATGAATATACTGGCGTAATTCCTCCACAGAAACAAACAACTTCCAAATACATAAATTGTCGTGCAGTGTTTTTGATGGATGTGGTTACCCCCGAGCAATTTAATGATACGTACTTTGTTAGGTTTGAAGAGGTTTGTCTTAAAATTTTTATGTAAACTTAAGTTGTATCATAATTTATAATTTATGCAACACTTAGTAACCTTTGTATAGGCCATTTTACCGCAATATCTTGTCCTTTACGATGCATGAAAGCTGTTACTTGTATTGATATGCGACATTTAGACGATTTTGATATTGGCACTTTGAATTTGCTTAAGCCTGGCTAATTGCATATATAAACTTTTAGTTTAAAGCAATAATTTCGATTTGTAAATGATGCAATGTGACATCACCAAAAATTGATAAATACTATTTTGATGCTTTATATCACATAAATTTCATTAAAAAAAATAAAAAGTAAAAAATAAAAAATGACAGGAGAAAACAAATTATTGAAATGTACAGGATTAACGAAAAAGATACTCGAATAGAAGGAGATGGTGTTTCACACTCTCAAGAAAGACAACCAGTTCCAGAAGAATTGAACACCCTAGAGAAGTTTCTCTTAGAAAAAGTTTCGGACAAATGCCAACTAGTATCTTTTCACACTCCATAAATTAAAATTTTAGTACCCAAAAATTATACTGCACTAATTATTTTTACGGATGTACGTACGCAGCCGTCTTTTTAATACGTATGCATGTGTGAATTTTGTGAAAGATTTGCTATGCTATAATCATATAATCTCATTAGATGTTCCGTGAAGAAATTTATTGTTTAATATTTGCATGTATTTATTTTCAGGTTTTGGGAGCTGGAGTTAAATGTGATATTCGCAATAGTCGTTTCAAGGGGGCTGATAGATTAGCTAATACTGAGTCACGGGTTTAAAGTCTCTTGGTGCTAGAGATTTATCATATAAAATATCTTTTTTGGCATGTACAGTTCATACTGTTGACGTGAAGGTACAGATCATTTCTTTAATCAAAACTGATGGTTTTTTATTCTTACTTAAGCGTTTTTAACATTCGTTATCTTGAAAAAATAGCGTGATGCTTATAATAGACTAACAGAAGTGAACGATATTGAAAATGATCATGAAGCATTTGTTAAGTCTATGAAAGGGATGGAGAAAGAACTTTTGGATGAGATGAGAAGAGATGAAAGAATTTTCGATAACCTAGTCAAAAGTATCGCACCAAGCGTTTTTGGTAATAAATTTATATTATTAGTTTATTTAGTTTATGCGAATTAATTGGTACATCAGTAGTTGATTTAAATGTTTTAAAATTTAGGACATGAGTAATAAAAAAAGGAGTATTACTTTAGCTTCTAGGGGGTGTTCACAAAGAAACCGTAAAGGGTATGAATCTCAGGAGGGATTTAATGTTTGTATAGTTGGAAATCCTAATACCAGCAAGAGCCAGTTCCTTAAGTAATTATACATATTTAACCATCATTTGATTTTTTTTATTTAGATTTTACCATAGAAGCGAGTGCTTTAATGCTAGTAGATAACTTAAGTAATATAATATTTCATTGATTGTATTAACTATATCTATACATGGGTGTCTAGATTGGGTTCCGATCGATTCACTGACAGTCATTTTCACCGAATGCTCATTTAGCCGACATCACATAGGGTTAGGGTTTAGCATTTGATAAGTTACAGGTATATATTTTTTCTTAATTTCACCTGGAGTGATGTCGGCTAAATGAGCTGTCGGTGAAGTGATTGTCGGTGAACAATACGGGCCCGTCTAAATTACTCTTCTTGATAAAAAAATTATTTCGACATTTAGTCTGTCGAAATTAATTTTTTTTAGTGGCGAAATTAATTTTATAGTTGTCGAAATTTTTAGTGAAATTATTTGAATTCTTTATGCCAAAATACATTAGATAGTATAGTACTTTGTGGAATTCATATAAAAAACTAGTATTTGTCGAAATTACTTTTTTTAAAAAATAATTTAGACACCCATGTATAACTATACCACATAAGTAATAGTTATTGGGCACGAAGTGCCCAATAACTGAGTTATTTGCTGTAAGCTATTTGATTGGTCGATTTA